TGAACACTTCTCTTCTTTCGAAGTTTTCGATTGGGGTTGATCGGGATTTTCATCGGATTTAGCCAGTTCCAACATTCTCTCGCCGAAACAAATACTATAAATTTTGACGAAACTCCACGAAACAGTTTACAATAATTTCAAACTTCAATTTTTGGCACAACAAAAACAAAGACATTTTTTATAAATCTGATTTATATGAAGTAAAAAGAAGAATTGGGAATTGGGGTTTTTCGATATGATAGTGTATTGAATTATATTTAGAGGTTTGTGCAGTTATTAAACTTGTTCAACGCGGGACTAAAAATAATCTACGGCAGTTTATATTAGTGTATGACCGAGAAACAGTGAACCGGAAAGTTGAGACATCAACGTCAAATGTTATGTTTTGTGTAATTTTGTTCCTATTTCTTGTAAAAAGTTACAAAAAAACTACTGTAAAAATTCAATAAATTATATGAAAAATAAAAGCATATTATTTCCATACCAACAAATTTTGTTTGCTCGCAGTTCTTAAAAATGTAACATAAATTTTTAACAGATCATTAAATATCTGTTTTATCTTTACTTTGTAATAAATTTAACCTATTTCTAAACATTGTTCTGGATTCAAATCCAGTTTTATCCTGGATTCAAATAAGATTGTTGAAAATAGTGAAGTTTAAAAACCCGTTAACGAAGGAAGTATTAACACTACGTTGGTTAACAAGAAAGAAGCTCGTAACATTATTTTTATAGTACACCATGCTTAAATACGAAAATAGATAATCTCTTTAGTAGATCGATAATGTTAGGTACTTATGCGAGTATAACACCTGATGTAAGTTTATTTTAAATGCCTATAAAACCGCCTAAATGTATCCCAATTTACTGTTAAATGAAATAATTCTTGTTACATTAGGGATTCTATTAGGCTATTAATTTTCGTGTGTTTGTTCTTCCATGCTCCATATACTTAATTTCATCACTCTTTCGAAGAAATTATCTGCTTGATGATAATTCTAAAGATTTTATCTAGGTATTTCTCCACGAAACACCAGCACGCTAGAACTCGCACAAATTAACTTTTATTGTTAAATTAAAAACTCCTTATCCGAAACAAAGGAGTGCTTTCAACGCTCGGATAAACATCGCAAAGTTTAAATTAGGGTTTCAATATGGCGTTTTTGTCTTATCACCCGGCATCGCAGCCCGACAACTAGGAAGTCGCAAAGGAACTTTTCCAATAGTTACTGTCTGTCTATTTCAACGACCAAAAAGAACGAAATAAGGGAATTTCGCGAAAAAGAAGCTGACAAAATTGGGTTTCTTATCGTTGAGGAAAACCGGCAACTTCGTATCTAATAACTTTTAAAAATCCAGTGGTATCTTTTGTTAGATATTTATTTATGTATAGGAGAAACTTTATCTTTAGAAATGTCTATCTAGAGTCTCGAGGGAGTATTATATAGATTTACCCCATAGCAAACATTTTATTGTTCTTTTTTGTAAATCTCTCTTTACATGTAATATGAAAGTACCTAAACTAATCTTGTAATTAAATAGAAAATATTTCATAATGTAAGTCTGAATTATACGGGGTGATTCATTTACTAATTAACAATAGAACTTAATTAAAATAAATAAATTTACATACCTACACATAAATAAATTAATCCTATACCAATCTATGTATCATTAAATCAATATAGTACCTGGTAATAATCCGAATAAGACTACCTCAATAATTCAACATTCATTGGAGTCCCCACATGGCGATAACACCGGAATACCGCACAAAAAACATCAGCCAGTACATCCACACCTGCTAGTCAAGCAGGGGAAACATCCGAACAAAAACTAATATAGCAAAAATCTATATTTTCCTATACAATTTTCATTCACCCCGACCGCAAAAATATGGAAATACACCACAAATTAGAGTTCGATTTACGAAAAAAACAATCGTCAACGCTGACCAGCCGGCATCGACGTACGGATGAGTGAACGTCGCGACGCCGTTCGGCACGCGGCGCTCGCGTTCCCGTTAAGGGGGACCAGGAAGCGGACGTCGCGGCGCACGGCGTCTGCGCCGCATTTCGCGTTACCCTTTCGACGGAGGATTCGCGACGGGAGGACTTGCATTCGTCTGATGCGGAATAAATCATTATCGGGCGTACAGCGGGAATATACGCGGGGTTGTGGGCAGAGGGAATCGGCGAAAGGAAGAAAGAAATGTACATATTGTGATGTATGTTGCGTACAAACAGTTAATTAAAAAGTTGTAGACAGATTGCTCATCAACTTTAGGTGATCTGATGGGTCGTTCTGTAGCGATATGTGGACATTTAAATAAAAAATAAAACATTTATTTGTTTAAATAAATTTATTCAAATAAAAATAAAATACATTTAAATTACAAAATGTACAAACAAATTTAACAATTTTTAGGAATATTTTATTAAATTAGTTGTTTTAAAAATCACTTTGTCAGATAAAAAAATCTAAATAGTTCTGAAAACGTTTTAAATATGCTTTTCCGGTTTAACATACAACTTCCAAATAGTTCTGAATCTTTTCTAAAATATTTTGGACAATTCTAAAGGTTTTAAGACCATCCTAAAATGTTTCAATTCATCAATAAATTCGTTCTAACTAATTCTGTATAGTTAGTCCATGAATAGTTTTGAATAGTTCTAAATGATTCTAAAACAGTGATGATCAATTTTAAAACATGACAAAGTTACAATGCCATCTCTCTTTCTCTCGTACGATATTATTATACAAGCACTCTCATTCTCACAATTGTATTACTCGTATGTCCACATCGCCATCGCAACAGACCAATCCGGTGTAGGGTATTTCAAAATTGATAAGAATTATCAAACCTCCTCTGTTACCCTAATGTGGAAAATTCTGGTATAGATAAGTTCCTTCCCAACCATTATAATCAGCATTCATTCTTTCGTGTCCAATGCTAATAATGTACAATAATTGGTAATAATGGGCATAGCCAACCCTCATTCTCTCTTATCTTAATTCGTCAACATCTTCTACCAGCTATTAGTGTAACTAGTATTTCAAATTACGCGGGAGATTTTTCCCTATTTTATTCGTTTCAACATTGTCCCCATTCACGCAATTTGTTAATCAATCTTCCATTTGTCGCTTAAGCCCGAGTCCTACCCAGGATTACTATAATGCTTCTTATATTACACTATTTCTAGCCATAATTCGACATGGCATAAAAAACGCCTAGCGCCGACTTCAAAGGTACCGGTGCACATGGATGTACCGTTTTTAGTATCAAAATTAAATAGATTAAAGTATTAGTTGGGTAATATTTAATGTACTCACTTTGTCAGTGAAATTTTATGTCAAATAAATTTTATAAGTTAAAATTAATAATTTTAAAAACAAGTAAAGTTTAACCAAGGCTTTGAGAAATCGCGAAAAATTTTCAGACCGCGCGAGCCACTGATCTAAGACAAACAAACTGAAGAGCGAGATTAATTAGATGAATATTTGGTGATTTACGACCGCGAGCCAGCTGCCGGTCCGAAATCGCGTGATCGCACAGTTGTAGAATTAATATCAACTATTGGTGAGTTGATGTTTAAAACTTAAGTGAGCCACATCAGCGCGGCTCAGCAGCTATACCGGGGCGATTCGCGCTTATTGGCAATGCGAGAGTATGGGTTTCTTAGCATTCTCGGCGCTTATAACGCGATTTATTTCGCGTCCCCGGTACAACGGTCCAAATCGGATTAAGACTAGAATCACTATACATGGAAATCCAATAGTAATAAACCAATTATTCCCATCTTCCATAACGTCTGTCCTAAAGTGAATGAGTGCTCTTTTTGAAACGTAACACTGATGAAGAAAAGGCAGAAAAACCCTATAAAAACATATCTGCTTCCTTGAAGCAAATGATTAAATTATAAAAAAAAATATACCAACTCTTTACTCTTTCATCCTTGGATGCAATCAATAACCGAATTAAACATCTCTGGTTAAATTTCGGAGAATTAGAACTACCTGTATAGCGTGCGCTAAAATAGTGTATAAATTTTCTAAAATTCATGAAACATTTCCATCCGCAACTCAACGTCAGCTGTGCTTATATTTAACCAACACTCGAATTTAGAACCGCTCACAGCGTCGATCCGAATGAAATATCACGTCAAATATGCGAAATTACGTTTTGCGCATCCGTGTTGTTGCAACTGACAGAACCGACAGACACGTACCACTCATCTGTGGGGTGGTAATAAGCGAATTGTCAACGCTAGGAGCTCACGACGCGTGGAAGATTGCGGGCCCCGTTTCGACGTGGAGTTCACGCTCCAGAAGCGCATGCAAACGACTGGGATGCAGTGGATGCGGCGCATAGGGAAAAAAGAGGATTACGAAAAACATTACGGTAATGAGCCTGTACGAGTTGGGCTTATAAGTACATGTTGGTGTGAGAAATGTGGATTTTATTAAGAGCGGAATGTCTAGACGGATACAACAGTCGTATGAATGGTGTTTTTGTACCGTGGTTGGATGAAGAATGTTTTGTGTGGATCGTTTTGTTATTGTAGAAAGCTCAAAGGCATTTGGTTTCCAATAAGAGGGTAAATGTAGGGTGTTCTGCGTCAGATCACACAGAATGGAAACACTTAACTGCTCTAAATAACATGAATATTTAATATTATTTACTACCATGTCAATATTCATCCCTAGGAAATTTAGGGTTCAAAGCAGTTTAAAAGAGAAATCTAAAGCAGAAATTTAAAAAAGAAAATAAATATTTTCACAAGGTGTTCGAGCCAACTAGGTTGGCTGGTTGCAAACCTAGTTTCATTATTTGCTAAAACTCACAAGTATCAGTCTATCTGGGAATCCTCAGATCAGTATATTTTTAGCTTCATTTTAAATTTGATGATACTCGTACATCAAAATTTGTTGGATCTACTAAATGGGTGATAAATTAAGAAAATCATATGTATTTTTCGGAATATCGAAGAAAAACTTACCTCCATCACTGCCAGATAATAATCTTCCCGACTTGCCATCTGCATTCCATTCTTCTTCTGGAACAATGAGAATATTAAATAACATAATTATGAAATTGCTTAGAAGTTTGAAATCAATATTGAGGTAGTTTTAGATTTCTCTTTCTTATTACAATTCTAAGTTCTAAGTCATTTTTAAATTAAGTGTCTTTTCATATTTTCAGTAAAATATTTATAAAAAACCTTGAAAATTAAACTTTCAAAAACCCCTATAATCACTTAGCAAAGTTAGGAAAATTTGCTAGTTTTATAAAAAATTCACCTGAACATATGCTAGATGAACCATTATCGTCATCCTCTAAATTGTTCTTACAACACCGACTACATCTTGAACACATTTTAAGCACTTGGGACGCTTCTTCTTGACAACACCAGACTTTTCACCGAATATCAGTCGAAATAACAACTCTACCAACTTTCCTGCGACGCTCTAGTGCACCAATTTGCAAAGTATCTGTCAGGACCACATAGCTATTTCCTTCCAAACCGTTATGAAGTCTTAATTAAGCAGTTTCCATATTTAAGACGCGAGGACGGAGTCATTTTCGAATAACAATTTCCGCGCTAAATTTTCCATTGTTCTAAACCGTCGGTTCAAATTATTATTCGTTACTTTTCAGCTTAACGTTTGTTTTAAATTAGCATCGAATTTATTTTGCGGCTACTTTGAGTTTTTAAGATAAATATAACCTGATATGAAGGTTTTATGTTTAATTGAAAGCTTTGGAAGCTTGTAAAGTTTGTTCCTTTGAAGTTTAGGATACGTTATAACGGATAAACGATTTTTGATGAAATATATACTCAATTCCAGGTTTTACATTAATATTAAATGATTCGTATGTGCTTAATTAAATTTAGCTTCAATGTAAATAATTCTAGTAAAAAATAATAATAATGAGATAATTAACAAGGTAACCCAAAAAAACCATTGACCAATTAATGATAAATTGCTAGTCACAAAACTAGATTTCCAGATAATAATTTTTATCTCCTATATAAACGATTTCCTTGACACCGAACATGCAACATCAATATCGAGTGCAATTCGTTCAACATTTCCCCTTCGCCTATTTTCATCATTTCCCGAGTTCAGTTTTAATTTTCCTCGTCGATTGCATCGAAAGTCTCTACTGTCGATTCAGCGCTAATGGAAAAGTGAGCAAGTATAACCTTATTAAATTTTCAATAAAAATTATCTTGAATTGCCGTCCAGGCGACGGAGCGACAGGGGACAGGAAGCACGGCTGGAAGTCACGCAAACCGAAGAGGGAGCCCGATGCCTCCGGCATAGTTATTAGGAACCCATCGGCAAATCAACCTAGCTGAAGGTTAAAATTGAAAATCGAATCTAATAGGAAAAGAGGTGATTGAACTTTTTTTATTGCAGTTTGTTTTATTATAACGATTGATTGGAGTTAGGTGATTGATTGGTGGTAGTTTCAGGTGATTTATTTAAGCATAAATTCTAAAATGTAATGGATATTTTATTTTTGACCACCGTTTTTTATACGGTCTCTGAAAAGTTGAAATAGGGATTTCGTTGAGTCATTATTTTCGATTTTCGGCTGTTTGGCCATTAAGGTCACTTTAATTCAGAAAAATGAGATTTTTTGGTGGCTGTAGTTCATTTACTACAGTACATCTGGGACAGTATTATGTGTTTTAAAAATGAACAATCTTGTCGGGTCTTAAGATATTTGAAGCTTACTAACGACATTTTTTCGTCATCTTTCATTTACTGTGGTAACTTTGGAAAACTTAAATTTTGGACACCATATGTAGATTAAATGAAAATTATAATCCAAGCCTTGTTTGTTTTTGACTGCTAAGGCTTTTTTTGTAATATACTAAACTGTAAAATATTAAGCTATAAATATTAAGCTTATACATCAGGAATTTTGAGAGGATTTTACAAAATATCCATCCCTCAAATACATGTGCCTATCTCGTTCATTTACCGTTACTCGTTAATTTCGTTCATTATCGGTTATTAATTCATGAATAAACTTAACATGTTGACTGTCGTGATGGTCCTATGGGACCAGTACATTTGCTCCAGAAGCCTAGTCCCTTTGAGGTCTCTATGGACCAGAACCTTTTGGCGCTCTGGAAACCGCTGGCTCATATTCTATATTAAAATACTGTGGATAAAAGACCAGCATGGCTTCAGAAAACAACCTTTCCCTATAAAACAAAATACAAACAGATCCACGACAGTCAACGTGTTAATGTTAAAAATACAGTCGATTCCTAATTGCCGCAAAATAAATTCAATTAAACAACAAATAATATTCCTACACTATAAGTAAAGTGTTACAAAAAATGTACAAGTTATTTGTTAATTAAAATCCCAGCTGATACCTCCGAGTATTAATCATTCTAACAAGAAAACACCGCACAGAATCCTCTTGTCGTGTGACCGAAACCACTCGAATTAATCCCGCAAACAACGGCGCCGCGCGAACCGCCTCAAGTACCGGCAAACAATAGGAGGAAAAAGAGACTGAAAAAAAAATAATAATCGTCCACGTGCAAACGCCCAGGTGGCTGCACTTCCTCACCGCACGACCACGTGCTAACCGGACTGCCGCCCGAATATATCAGGCCCGAGAGGGCGACATATTGTGATGCGGCAATTGTTTCATACATCCACCGAAGAGCGACGCGACGCCGACGCCCTCCGTCCGCGAGGTACGCCGCATGACTGGATGCCGCCGTCGCCTAAGAGCGGGCCGTCGATAGCGCATGGAGCTCAGAAGCGATCCCGACGAACCGAAGGTCGAAGGTCCAAAAGGGCGGGGAGGATGTGTTTTGGATTACCGGGAAATGATAATTGCTATTAACTGTTGTAGAAATTTATATTCGAATTGATTGTGATGTGCGTATACGATGGAAGGGAAAAGGGCACTAGGAAAGGTATTGTTTGTTAGGTCAGTTGAATAGTATTTGACATACCATTAGCTTCAATGAACCATTGAAACCACGGAGAAAAATAGTCTATAATTTTGTGACTTCAAGAAGTTGGTTTTCTTCTAGAGCAGAACATTTCCTCTTGAAAATTACCACACTTTACTTATAAGATTTTTTTTCTAATGCACACTAAATCATCTATTTTTTGCTCCTTTCAACTCCATTCGATTTATTACGAGCGCTCAGAACGGTCTCAAATACATATAAGTTAAAATAATATTTTCCGAACACCAATTCACAACATCCATCAATTTGGAAGGAAAACGCTCTCGTGGAGCTGTCGCTTTCGGTAAAAAAAGTAAAAAAAAATAACATCCGAATAAATAGGTTTCCTTTAAGGGCTCGAGTAACCTGAATTCGCAACTTTTAAATATTCCAACGAGTGCCGGTGCGTCGGAAAGCTGAATCGGGCCGTTGGATTATGTCACACCCATATCACAACGACGTGTCTGTCAAATAGCGGAGGCTGCAAACCGACAAACATTAATAATTTATGTCTGAACGAATTTCAGGTTCGAATTTCCGATTCAGTTTTTCGAATGTTAAATAAATTACAACGGAATATTAAGTCACCAGGAATTTATCGTTTCTTTCCAGAGGTATTTTTTGAAATTGTTTTTGAATGAACTTTCTAGTTTTTTGTAGAGATTTATAGCTTTTTAGTGTGATTTTAGGATGTTTTTTCCTTGTGGTTAAGCTTTTGATTTTTTATAGTGATTATAAAGCTTTTTACTATATTGGAAAAGTCCTTAAACTTTGAATATGATGAATCAAAAATAAGACTTAATATAGTAATCAAAATTTTATTTAAATCTGTTGTGAACATTGTAGGGTTTTAAAGAGTGGTCGAAAATTTCATAGAACATTAAAAAAAATTTTATATGTAGTTTCTTATGTCAATTCACCCTTCTTAATCAATTAACACTACTAGTGTTCTGTGTAAAAGACATTTAGGCTACGTTTTTGTACGGATCGAAAATAAAATCAGAGAAACTATTTTTAGATTCTAAATATATTTCTGAAACTGAATGCTCTTCATTACTGAATTAACTACTAAAACAAAAATACAAAACCGATGATAATCGATTTGATGCCAATTCAATCCACTCTATTTTTTAATTCTTTTATTTTACAATCAATCCAACAACGTCACCGTTGAACGTTCGGATGTAAAGCAAAAAATTAAATGAGCAGTATCGAATTTTTTCATACAGCAACATTTTCAGTTAATGCGCTTTTTTCCCACCCACATCGAGCAGGAAAAATTAGTTTTCGGTGCGTAATGGAGCGAACGCGCCCTGCTGGAAGAGACGTAACTGAACAACACACGTGCGGAATTACTAGGTCATTTGGATGATACTAATTTACTGCAGCACATCCGATAATTTATCATGGGGGCGTGCACCCTCATGATGTGTATTATCGACCTACAAAATGGGTGTGATCGCTCCGCAAGAGATCAGCAAGAGATTTTTCTCCGGTGGTGTTTACCATAAAGGTATTAAAGGAAAGGAGGGAATAAAATCAAGTTAACAATGCTAATGGATCGCTTTTAGAAAGTACTTTTTATAAATAAGGTAAAGGTTTTTCAGGGGTTTTAAAGAAGCCTTGACGAGTATCTTGTGTTGGCATTATGTATCTTGTAAAAGATATTCAGATATCTTGTATCTTATTTAATTGAATTTTGTTGCTTAAAATGTTCAAAAGCTTTCAAAAAACCTAAATAAGTAACTAACTAACTGTTTTCACTAAATCAGGTATTTTTATCTAGAGAAAAGATATTTAACGAAAATGTAATATACTATAAATAGATAATCTCTAATTATTCTAAGCGGGTTTAGTGATAAACAAAACCATCACTACCCCGTCAAGTAAATAAAGAATTTAATTATGCGTAGGCGCCGCTTTATGTTCCCCATTACATTTTGTTTATAAGACACCCGTCCAATTTCGCCCCGCTCGCCTTTTTTATGCCGAAATAATTTATAATCCAATAAGGGCCTCACGATATCATGTAAGTGTATTAAATCAGAATGTCGAATAAGGAGGAAAAAAACTGTGACTAACAGAAAGACATTATTTATAAGTGCTCGTTGAATATTAATGGAAGCCAGGTTTCTTGTATAACAGCTAAGAAGTAGAGCCATAAAAAAACTAAAAAACAAAGAAAAAACATAAACAGATGATAAATGCTTCAATTAGATCAGAAGTTATATAATAAATTCTTTTTATTAAAGTTGGTTGAAGATTGATAAAAATATAACAACACCTTGTAGATACAAAATAAGAAAAATCGAACAAATTCATCTACAAGAACCACAAAACCTTTCCCATTAAACGAGTTAGAAAAATGAATAAGTTTCAGAAAATGAAAAATAGATAGGACAATTCAAAATTAAACCTCAAAATAAAAAAAGTAGTCCCACATTCAATTTAACCGTTCTCCCGCTGCTGGGACCAGGAACCTAGCAAAAACTCCACTTTCCTTTATATAAATTATTTGGAGCTCTTTTTACTCACCTTCCAAAGATACGCATTGTTTCCAGACAAACATTTTCCAGCCCCGAGGGTGATGGCCTGTGTATTAACAACGAGAATCCACGTTCACTGTGTACCATGCAATTTAAAAAAATTTCACCCTTTTTTTATCATAATTTCATATATTTTTCAAGGATTTAATTTGATTCGAAAAAATTTATTAACGCGCTTTTGGTATTGTAACGTTTTCACAGATCACATCAGTGTTATTTATCTTACTTTTTTTATAAGTTTACTATTCCTCGAGAAATCTTCCTTATTCCAATGTCTAAACTTTGAAGGAGCTGTGGTTGCGAGCACTGCGCCTCTTAAAGGATAAGTTCAAGTTTGACTAGAGTTAGCGAGTTATTGCACGTTCATTGCTTTGTTGTATGATTAGGGAAGTTGTTTAATATGTTTAATATCTGCATTTCGCTCTAAAACTGATTTTGTTATACAGGGGTTATTCACGATTTTACGAAAATTATTTAAGAGTGGGTATCTAATTGTTCAAACGGACTCAAAAAAAGGGTAAAAATAGACTGCTCAAAAAAATAAAAATTCTAGTTAAAATCTGGATATTTTGGATGAAAAGGTTGTAAATATGGTTAAAAATAATTGAATTATCAATTAAAACAATACTAAATTTAAAAACAAATTAGAGAAGAAATTAGGAACTTTTTGTAATTATAAAAATGCAACAAAATTGGGAAATTTTCAAAGTCCTAATCGTTTATTCTAATTGAAATATCATTTAAAACAATTTGGCGAAGAAATTAAAAGAGATTAATATCCTGGAAATTTAATTAAAATTCCGAATTTTCGTTAATACCTTCTGGGTTCCAATTTAAGTTGTTGGCTAATCGAATTAGCCGAAATTCCAATTAAACATTACTGTCTCCGGCGGCAAGGTAGATAAAAATCCAACTTATTGGAATTACATCACGATTAAAATTTACTTCGATCGAATTAAATTTTTTTAATTAGGGCATTTCGCACGATGGCATTAATGATCGTTATTCGCTTATTAGACGCGACAACGGCATCTCGATAGCGCCGGAAAACTGCCGGTATTCGATTTTCCAGGAGCACATACACATGTTAATTCCGCACGATGCACAATCGCGCCTCCGGGTGCCGGATTAAAGTCGCCTTTATCAGCCGATAGGTAGGCAGCCCGCGACCAAAGTGATAACCTGTTGTCACTGCACTGTAATATGTAACCAACATCCAAGCCATTCTCTAATTTCCGTAGTGAAGTATCTCCCGAAGTTGCGCATGAACTCACAGTGGCGTAACGGAATAATATTGATTTTGTTATACGTGGATGAATTGGGTAATTGGAAATAACGACTATTTGAACGTACGTAATTGTTGTTCGATGTTTTGATCATCAGAGATTAATTTTAATTTGAATTTTTCCAATTAACTGGATTTACGAACTTTGATTTGAATTCAAATGCTATTAATCTTAATCTGTTTTATCCCTGTTGTAATTAATTTTTCTTACAATTACTTGAGGAAATAATTTTTGAGTAAACGATACACCAAAATATTCTCTAGCCAAATAACCTCAGAGCTAATAAATCTGTATTTGCAGATACTCTCTCAATACCGATGATACTTATTGATAAATCTATCCAGGTAAGTAGAATTCACCTACGCCTATGTTTTGAACTTCTCTCAACTCAAACTAGGTTGCGACTGGCAGTCACATAAAATATATACCCACGGCAAACCTGCCAATACCTCAGGTAATGTTTTACCGGAGACTGGAAATTTTATTTACATTAATCTTTAGCTGCATTATTGAAAATGAGAACTTTCAAAGCACCGCATGCACGACTTTAAACCGTTTGAGAACTTATCCTCGAAGTTTTCTACTAGTATTTTCACAAAGCAACTCCGTATTAAAACCTGTATAAGAAATTTGCTACGATTCAGAAGTTTTGATATGATTCAATAAAGTATTTAAAAAAGGAAGCATAACTTTTTGCATTCAAAAAATGAAGGAATTGATTCAAGGTATATGCATAAAAAGAAGTGAAGGAAGAGGTTTTGCTTCGAGGATCCTGATGTTGCTTTAGAGCCAAATGTTTTATGTTTTCCTTTTTTATAAAAAGACGCATTTGCTTAAAAATGCTTGTAAAAATGGAATCTTTTCTCTTACCTTTTACTTCAAAGTAGGTAAATGCTTCATTTTTATAAATA